CCCTCATTCGGTTGAGCGCGTCCAATTCCTTTTGATCATACTCAATGGCGGTGTCTGGGGATTCTGCTCGAAGTCTATGCAGCAACTTTGCAAGTAACGTAGCATGTACTTTTCAAAAGCTTACCTAGCAGAAGTTCGTCGTAGATTTCGCGGAGGCGGAGGATTTGCAGCACGCACTGGAGCCCCAGGTGGAAATATATTCATAGCTCCGCGCAATATTGGGAATTCGGGTTCCTCGATACCATCGAGGGCATTGCGCGCACGACGCTGCATTCTGGGCTGGGAAGTTTGGATCGGCTAGGGCTATGGTTCCTCCTCTGGCGACCGGTAGGCGCTATAGTGAGTGACCAATCACTTACAGAACAAGTGGTTAAATAAAAGTTGCTAGTAGAAAGGCAGACTTTGTGGGGCTTTATCGCTGCCTTCAACAATTCTTCTTAACAGGCTGTATTGTATCATATCCACCTCTTGCTCTTATCATGCGAACGCATATAAATCAAGATTATTGAGCGACACTTGATACATTAATTGACCAATATGATTACTTTACAACCCTGTTGTTGGTTTGTTATATGGATGATTTGAAACTTTTGTGAATGGAACGAAATTGCTTGCATGTGTTAAAAGTTGACGACTGATTGCGTTCTACAAAACCCATCCAAATAAATAATTGATAAATTAGGGGCATAGACCAAGGCACTCGTTTGAAGCTAGAATGAATTATGCAAGGTTTGGATTTTATTGTAAAGTTAAACTATTTACAACACATTTTCACTTGGTAGATCCGGCTACATGTTACATAAAATTGACAGTTTCCAAAAGACGTTCATTATACCTTTTATGAGCAATTGCGGCGCTTTAAGCTTGATCAGTTGAGGCCACTGCTTTTGCTCTGGAAAAAAAGAGGGAAAGGAAGGGAAGTGTAAGCCTCCCCCCCCTCCCCCTCCCCCTTCTCCGCCGTCTCCACATTGTCACATACATACACACATACGTACATACA